AACGATCGAACAGAACAAAGTATTAAACGTCAAAAGTTGATTACACGCGTCTATTTGATATTATTATTTGGTAAAGTTTTATAAACTTTAGAAAAAAAAAAGAAAATCAATCTTATGATTTTATTTCATTTCTTTGCGATATTAGGTTCAATTTGTACTGTTGGTTTATTTTCATCATTAAATAGTGAAATTGTAACATTAAGAACGGAAACGAATATAACAAAGGAAACGTATAGTTCTTTAGAACGTCTATATTCTAGTACACTTCGATGTCCATGTTCAAACAAAGCAATACCTTATGAGAAATTTATTTCATTATCGCCACGTTTTCATCAAATATGTTCAAGTGATTTCACCCATAGTAGTTGGATTAAGATAATGCAAAGCTTTCGCCATCTATATTCCGATGATTGGCGTTATCGTGTAGATCTACAATTTCAGTTTTTGTCTGATTTTTGTCATTTAGCTCGACAGACGATCTATGATGCCATTGTTCGATATCGTTCTCAATTGTTTATTGTTTCTTCTGTAATGAATGAAACAGAATTTTACAAACAAACCAATACAAGTTTCAATCAATTTAATCAATCAACTGTTTATAATTTTCGTATGATGACGAATGTTTTACAACTATTGCTGCAGATAGATCAACTATATAATGAATCAGTGATACATATTCATAGACTGTCTTATTATGTTGGTTTAATAGACGATGTCATGGAATATGATAGTGACAAGAATCAACTATACAAAGTATGTTATTAAGCTTTGCATAAATAAAATGACGCATTTACAAGTTTAAATCGTTAAGATCCCATTAAAAAACTCAATTTTTTGTAAGAAATTTCAAAAGTCAGACAAATACATAAGGGATAGTCTGTAATTTGTTCTTTATAAATAACTAGTGGAGATACTCGATGTTGGTTTAGATCGTTCCAAACTGAAAACTCCATATGTTGGAAAACGACGGGGGAAACAGAAAGGACCTTACACACTTGATACCATTTCAATTATATAATTGTATAGTAAAATTCAGCTTTCGAGTCTTACATTTTTACGGTAGATAAATAGTTTTGCTCTATAGAAATTAGAAACTCATATAAAAATAGAATTCTTTTTATTTAATCATTGTCGACGTACAAAACCAAATTCTTGTTATTTTATTTATAGTATAACTTTCTGTTAAATGAAATGGATTTAACAACGGGCAGATGTGTTTGTGCCATAAATCCATATTGTCAAACACCAACTGAAAATGGTCTTGGTTTTATCACTCATGAGATTCTGTTTCCTGGCGAACCAAGTTCGATTCGACGTTGTTTTGCTCTCGATTCTCTTCTTTCTACATCACTTCAATGTTTATATGAAGATTCTGATTGCTTTCCATTATTAATGGCTAAGTTGTACGCTATATTTGATACGTTTTCTTTGACTGATTTTAGCCCATTAATTTATAATCCAGCAACAACTCTATTTCCTCCAAATATAAGTGTTTCAATCATGTTTAAAGAAATGATGATCGAACAATGGAATCCATCCGTGTCTTATAAATCATTTTTTGAATCATGTGCACCTACTTATTGTACTTATTCTCAAAGAATGCATAAAGAAAATTTTCTTGGAGTGATCGTAACGTTAATAGGAATGATTGGTGGTATTATAGTTTCATTAAGATTTGTGACACCTTATCTTGTTAAAATTATTATTACATTATTGAAAAAACTTAAGAAAAATAGACAACAACAAGAACGAAGAGAACGAGGTAAATTTGATTAAATCTTTATTCAGAAGCTTCACAATTAATTATAATTAAGCTTTTCATTGAAAGTATAGCAACCGTATGTTTCAATGTTTTTTCTTTTAATATTCTTTAGTTCATCAAAGTTATTTCAATCGAATAAAAATCATAATACAAAATATGATCAAGCTTTTGTCCAAAACATTACTTGAATTAAATATCTTTCAACCATCTGATTTTGGTAGTAGTGTTGATCGATTAACAGCTAAACAATATGGTCGATGGGCAACTCGTCTCTGTATTCTTTTATTTCTTAGTAGTCTTATAATACTTATCTTCTATACAATTATTCGACCACATAGTGTAACAAAAACATTTGATCAACCATTATTTAATTCTTATGAGCGATTACAACAAATTTATAAAAATGAATTAAAATGTTCATGTTCACAAATAGCATCAACATACAATAAATTTGTTGAAATTATACCAAAACTTCATCCTGTAAGATACATTGTAATCATTTTAAAAACAAAAAAATATAGATTGATTGAAGGTTTTCTTTCTAAGATTATAAAAACAATCAATTCTTTGTATGATAAAAATATCAATCGGATACTAACCTTAAAAGTCACTGTTGACATTATATTTTGTTTATTTACCCTTATATGTATATATTGAATATTTGTATGATATCAAACAGTACTGAGAATTTTATTAAATTTTTTATATTAATTTGCATTGATAATTTCATTTATTTTTCTACATAGATTTGTTCAAGTGAATTCGTATCGAAGGAATGGCATATGGGTATAATAGATGGTCTTGCTCCGAATTTTTCTATTTATTCAAAAAATGATTATCGTCGATTTCTTTCTTCTCATTTATATTATCTTCAAGGATTATGTCAAATCTCAAAAGATTCAGTTGATAATGCTATTGATGAATTTCTTACATCATTATTAGTCACTGTTGAACTTCTTTCCAAAGAAGATTTTCATCATCGTATTGAAATCTTAATTGAACAAAAGAAATCTAATGTTCCTATTTTATTTTCTCGTTTTCTCTCTATGATTCAAATTTTTAATCATGGAAATGGTTTTATGACAACATATGGAACAAATTTTCAATATGTTTTTTTAAAGTCTTATTATGATTATGATACAAGCTATTATGCACATACAGTTGCAATGATTTATGATGATAATTGTTCTTGTGGATTATCTTCAAATTGTACAACACAAGCTATTTTTATTGAGAACTTAACAACTATTTCAATTGTTGGATTAAAAATGGGATGTTTACCAAGTGAATCATTTCATTTATCAACTCTTGAATGTTTTTTTAATGAATCATGTCTTAATCTTATTCATAAATATACAAATTATCGAAATGATTCAACTCCTCTGCCAACAAATCTCACTTATTTTTCATTGAATTCAACAATTAATGAATTAATAAATCATGCATTTACTGAACAATGGTTAACAAACATAAATTATTCATTATATTATGATCAATGTTTTCCTTCAATATGTTCATATACTTATAATGACAAATTTAATATTTTATATCTTATTACACTTTTTCTTAGTCTACAAGGTGGTTTAACATTAGTTTTAACATGGATTTGTCCAAAATTAATTCGATATGCATCAAAAATCTATCATTATTATCGTATAAGAAGACAAAGAACATCAGTTTATCCAGATAATTCACTTTCAATATCATCAAATAATTTTAATATTCAAAATACAAATGATAATGCTGATATTCAAACAGAACAGAACAGAACATTTGAGTAAATCATTAATATTTTTACTTTCTAATCTAATATTAAATTTATTTCCTATAGACAAAGAATTATCTCACCAATTCGACGTTACTCGAAGAGAATTTTGATAATTTCATTATTAATATTATTAATAATTATTATAATTATCTTCTCAATTTATTATGCTCGAAACGGTAGGAATTTCGTTTTATTTTATAAAAGGGCGAGTTTAGGAAGGGAAAATTGTGATGGTTATTTCATTCATGCTTTCTCGATCAATCAGATTTTAGGAAAATAACGACTTGAGTCAACAATCAATTCATCATATCTTGCATATAAACTGACCGAACATACACTTCCTTAGAAAATCACTTGTGTAGAAAAAAGATCTAATGGTGATCTCACTGAGTTGAAAATATATAAGTTTCTCTCCATCAAATATTCTCTTTCTCGTAGAGAAGAGTCCAGTAAACATAAATTGTCTGCTTGCTTGCTTGTATGTCCGCAGGGTCAAAAAAACATTGAAATTTAATTTTTCAGTTACTTCCGGAAAATTTTGACTGGAGTGTAATCGAAGGCGGGGAACTTGAATCTGAGCTTACTTTATTAAAATTAACTAGTTAATAATTAGTTAATAATCAGTTAATAATTAGTATTATTATATGTTCGAGTAAAGTTTCACCGAAGGGTAATGGAGTGCCAAGAGTTCGAATGTGAGGTTAATTTTAGTTAAAAATCAATTAATAATTAATTAATATTATTAATCTTAAAGATAGTTTTAAGAAAGTTTTGCCAGAGGGCAATTCGAGAATCAATTTTTTGGAGAAGACATTTTTGGGGCATTTCGATGCGGAGACTTCGAATCTGATGTTAGTTTTATAAAATAATTTTATGGATCACGTTTTTAGGCAGAGAACCAATTTTTATAAAAAAAAAATTTTCATAAGGGGTGACGGAAGGTTAAGTGGGGTGGAAGAACATGAATCTAGTGTTAACTTTTCCAAACTGTATAAGCAAAAAGTTTAATATTGCAGAATACGATTTTTACGACAAAGAGCTGAGCGAGCCCCCAGACGAGCGTTACTTGTTAAGTAGAAAAGTCATTGAAAAACATTTGGATAAATTGTTTGGAACCTCTAGTTTTTTTGATTTAGCATAGTTTCTAATGTCTTACCTGCTTTTTATAACGAATATTCACTTGATAAATAAAAATATTTCAGTGAGATAATTATTATAGTATTATTGTTGCTTTTTTTAATAGTTTCACTGGAAAAAAGAACAACGGATAGAAATTTGCATACAACATTAAGTACAACTACAATCATGACAATATCTTTCAATACAACAGGTTAGTATAATATGTTTAGATTAGATATAATTTCATTTGTATAAATACATTTGTGAAAAAATATCTTATATAAAGGATATAAATATATAGAAAGATGTTTGAAATTAATATATATATGTTAAAAGATCACTACATTATTTTATTTTATATTCTACTAATTGATCACTTTTTAAAGTGTAAAATGAAAATATCAATGAAGGAAATGGTATTCGACTAATAAATAATCTTTGGGGGCGGGATGACTATACAACACTAGTAATAGCACAAGAAAAATCACTTCTCGATTATGTGTATGACTACTGGCAAAAATTCATAAAACATCTATCTGAATCTCAAGAAAGAAAAGAATACAGGGAGACTTGGGAAGCATATCTTATATGTACAGGTATAGATAAACACTTCTATGAGTCTATGCAATTAAGTGAAGATAACTTCTTTTTAAACCGTTACGCACAGAGGGCACATCATACGAATTTACATATTTTTTCTTTCTCTTGTTCCCATGAGAAACAGAAAGATTATTTTAAAAAATCGAATGTAGAAGTTAGAAATTTCATTAAAAAATATATTGAACCATCATAATAATATATTATATTATCTATCGTTCATTTTTTTTTTCGTCTTTTTCTTCTTTTCTCTTTCTATTATCTATATAATACCACACTTTCCACTTCTCCGCTGTCAAGCTATATATAACTTTATGAATGTCTGTCTTTTACACTCTTATGATGATTCACCATTTTCGATTCTCTTCTTTTACGTTTAATGTCTTAAAATCAAAATACGTCGCAGGAGGTATGATAAATACCTAATAGTAACTAATTTAATGCACTTTTTTATGAATCTATATCTTGATAACCCTTATGGGATCAATAAAATAATATGTCGAAAAAAAAAATATCAATGAAGGAAATAATATATTTGAAATTATATCTGATCAGAGTCTTTTTTCTCTTAGAACCACTTTGTCAAAATAAATTTCAACAAATATCAATCAATACTGCTTGTTTTGAACCTTATTATAACAAATTTAAAATTGCTACTGGTGATTTTAATAATGATAATCGAGTTGATCTCGTATATTCTTGTAAATCTGATCAAAATGAGGGTATACTTGTTCTACTAATTAATGAAAATGGAACATTTCATAATTCAACAATTTTATTACTGTCAACATTTCATTTGATAGATTTTATTTATGTTGTTGATTTTAATAATGATAATCGATCCGATGTGTTTTTAAAATATGGAACTGAGTTTATAGTTTTATTAAGCAATGATAATGGAACATTTCGACTTCTACCGGTATTGTCAGATGAATGTATTGACGAAATATTTAAAGTTTATATTGCCGATTTTAATAATGATAAACAATTTGATGTGCTTTTTACACAGAATTCTCGCTTAAAGGAAAACCCGATCGTTTTATTGGGAACTGGTAATGGAACATTTCAAGAACCAATTGTAAGTTCACCTACAAAGTTTAGTCAAGAGATGGAAAATATTGTTGTATACGATCTTGATAATGATAATATATTGGATATTGTTATAAGTTTTGAACTGAACACGAATGTTGGAGTTATGTATGGATGTGGAAATGGAAGTTTTTCATTACAAACTTTATTATCCGAACAGAATATAATTAACACAGAGATATTATATGTGGCGAATATTAATAATGATCAATATGTCGATATTATTATATACGATTATGATTTAAAACATGTTTATGTATTCTTTGGAAGTGCAAATAGAACGTTTGACTTACAAAAGCGATTTTTTCTTACTATCACCTCGTCCATTTATGTTTTATTTATCGATGATTTTGATAATGATAATCAATCTGATATTGCTTTTTTTTTATAGTTTTGATGGTACTGAATGTAAAATATATCATTATCATAATAATAGTTTTAAGAGAAATGAAAAAACTCATTTTGAATCGATTCAAAAATTGGACGCACTCGCACCAATTGTTTATGATATTAATAATGATAATTATTTAGATATTATCCTTTGCAACAATAAACCTACTGAGCTTTATGTTTTATTTGGATATGGAAATGATCGCTTTTATTCACATAAAGTTTATTCAGATGAAACTCAATATTTACCATGTAAGTTAGTTGTTGATGATTTTAATAATGATAATTTTCAAGATATAGTCAATGTTAATTATAAAACTAATTTTATTAATATTTTCTTATATAAACATGAATGTTCCATTGACTAAGAAAATTCAAAGACACATTTTTATGTATCATTTAGTTCATTTGTTTAAAATATTATTATGAAATAAAAAATACATCGATAATCTTATTTATCTTGTTTTTCTTCTTACATTATAATGAAAGGATAATCAGTGAAATTCTTGAAGAATCAAAATAAAATTAATCTAGTTAAACATTTTATGAAAATTAGATAGTCATTTACACAATTGAATCATCGATCAACTATTTCATAGGATGCAAAACTACATCATATTCTTATTATTGAATTTGTTCAATAATTGAATCATTATTCCTAAGTAAGAAAGATCTATTTATAACAAATGATTGTAATCTTAGAACCGATGTTATTTCAGTAGTTTAAACCACATTCATTCTTGTTTTATCTATTTTTTTTACAAGAAGAGAATCTATCCGCACTTACATCCATCCTCAAGATTAAATACAAGTCAAATTTGTGTTAATAATTATTGCTGTTGGGCAAAAAGTGTGAATGGAAATTTCTCTTTTCATTTTTCACACTTCAAAAACTTGTATTATTACAATCTCTTCGAGTAACGTAGCCAGAAATTTTCTAATGGATGTGCCCGAACATCCTCTGCACAGCTCTGAAATTAATATATACAAATGTTTGAGTTATACGACTTACACTACTCACTTCAAGTATTTTATATTATAACAAAAAAAAATATATGATTCATCAGGGTTGCATATTTACTTAAAATTTTGTTTTCTTTCCATATCTAACTTATCAACAGATAAAAATAAGTTAATTATTCATTTTAAAATAAATACTATATATAACTTTAATATTTTAAATAAACCAATCAATATAAATTTGG